CATTCAATGAGGGCGTCAACACTGTATTTGCAGTATTAATATAAATTTAAGTAGGCTTTAACTTTTTAAAATAATCCTCAACAGAACTATTTTCAGGCGGGCAAAATAGGTCCAGTGATTTCTTATTCTCAGACATTGTCTTATTGTTCATTTTCTCACCATTAATCCTCCCTGTCCCAAAGAAAATTAAGAGAAATACCCTTTATCTAAAAATTGGGGGATGAGTTATAAACATATGGTACACGCATATGTAAAATATATATATACACACACTTTATGTATGTGTGTACATACCCAAAGTATCCTCCAGTTTTATAAATTTTTAGTTACAAGTCCTAAGAGGGATAGGAATCTACAGAGGCTACTTGTTAAATCTTATTTGGGAATTGCTAAAATAAAATGTTATCATATTTATCCAATAATAATAACAAGTACCATAAAAATATAACTCAGTCAAGAAATGGAATTCAGTGAAAGATTTAAATATTCTTACAATTCAGAGAACACAAATGGCAAAGAAAATCTGATGTCTATTCAGGTCCACTAAAGACTCAAATTTTTCAGTAAATTTACAGGTATAAGAAGATTTTACACTGAATAAAAGAACTATTCTGGGGAAATTTAAGTTCCAAAGTCACAAAATTAATCAACGTATCAAAAATTAAGTTAAACACATTTCTTAACCCAAAGAATTCCATACAAGAAACTGATTCTAAAATTCTGATCAACACAGAAAAAAAATAAGGAAAATAAAAATGAAAGATAGTACGGTCTAGTGAATAATAAGTGTTATATAAATGAAAGCAAATAAATAATTTATTGCAATCATTTTTTAAAAATTCTAAAAGGAACAAGACAGGGGTTATTTTACTATCAGGCTGCGCGGCAGCAGCAACAGGTTTTCCTGTTTTCATAAAGGAGACAAACTGCCCTCCCTCCGTCTCCCAAACCACACCACACCACACGACACCACACCACACGGGCTCAGCTTGCAACAGAGAAACTGAGTTCTAAGGGATCCAGGTCGGCGAGCTGATGACCATGAGAAGGAATGAGACAGAGTAAAGTTAAAACACAGAGGAACACTGCTTCTCAGCCTTTTGGCTAAGATCAAGTGTAAAACACAAAGGAGCAACATAAAGCTAAGACCTGCCAAAAAGTCAACAGCATGAAGCTTCAGAGCGGTGCAAAAATGATTCTCCTGTCCCCCCCCCACCCCCACCCCCGGAATACTCCGCTCCAGCCAGATCTGCTCAGGTTCCAGGTCCTGAGAGGACCACTGCTGAATGTGCCCACAGGCGGAGACCTCAGAATGTAAAGAAAATCCTCTAGGACTGCCTGCTGTTGATCTCCAGCAGCTGATTCCTCAGACAGGAATTAACACAGCCAGTCTGATAGGTCTCTTCTCAAAGACTTCTCTGCTTTAACTCATGATCTTAAAGGAAGGCTAGAGGAGAAAGGTATGCAGCCACTGACGTCTCTAAGTAGAGCACATGGCCCGTTTCCTTGTTCCATTGGGAATGTTCCTGTGATCACCCTTTGTTCTGGAGCTCGGCTGTCCCTATTAAACTAGGACTTCCCTGCAGGACTAATTTCCACCCCGCCAGTCACAGGGGCCGCTGGAGATCCACAGTGCGGACCCGTCACCACAGGAGGTTTAAGGGTCAAGCCAAAGAAGGAACTCCGTGCTACAGACCAGATACACCTTCGCTACGGGGATATAGCAACATCCCCTTTACCTGCAGCACTCACAAAATCCTATAAGCAGTTGGTCACAACGACAGCTGTCCTCCAACATCATAAGCTGAGACCTAAGTGGGAACATGTCACATCTTCGTCAACACAGCCGCCTTTCACAAATGCTTCTGCCAGCTGCCCACAGATAACACCTCCAGCAGACTGCATGGCACCCCCACTGCCACAGTAGCCACGCGCACGCAGAACCAGTCAGCCCAGGAGGGTCTGAAAAATGTCAACGGACCAACAAAGACACACCCTGGCGCTCACGGGGACACCACAGAGTCAGCGTCAATTATCCTTGGAGGGGGCAGATTCCATAAGGCGGCCAGCAGGTTGGCTTCTGCCAAATAAGCCTGCTTCCCCCAACGGCCCTGTCAATAGGGCAGCGAGGACTCCGTGATGGGCTGGCCACTGGGGAACACCCAGGAGCCCAGGTGCCAGCCCTGGCCAGGGAGGGGCGGGTGCATAGAGGGAGGAGGGGATGATGGGCCATCCTCTCCGCCACTGGGCGGCCGCCCACCCCAGGCCACCCCCACCCCCGCTCCGCCCCGCGCCCCCAGCTCTGGGAAGAGCTATCAGGACGCATTTCTGAGGTCACCTGGGCTCAGAGAACTGCCCATCTGCGGCTCGCATGGCTGTCTCCCATGGAAGGTGCCCGGGCCCCGAGAGCAATGGGGACCTTGTAGGGAACTGCTCTCCAACTCCCCCAATCTCTAAAGTACGTTTTTTTTTTTTTTTAAATACTAAAATTGCTTTGCCTCCTGGCTGCTAGTGGAAAACAGCCTTCCTCCGATGGCACCGGCCGGCCAGCCACCCCCAGGAAGCGGGCTCCCAAGTGAGACAGGTGCCGAGATACCAAGGCTGCCTTAGGACCAGCCTCCGGATTCCCAAGGTCCCACTTCCAGACATGCCCAGACTAGATCCCGTCACCACCTTTGCACTGTTCCTCCCCTGGAGGGCAAAATTGATTGGACTTGCACATAATCAATTTTGAATTTTTACATCACAGAACCAAGAAAGCAAAACAGATTCCACCCACCACGTTTCTAAAGCCCATTGTTGGGCAAATATCTCTATTTCTGTGCCATTCATCATTCAAATTTAGCTTCTGCCTCACTAAGTTTGGACTATAGCACTGCCAAAAGTGAGCTGGAGCAGGCAGCAACCCATTTTTCAGCCAGTAGAGATGGACCACTGAGGCTGAAATGGTAGCTGGTCCCTCAATGATTTGGAAAATCAGAACACTGTTTTGCCTCACATAAGCCCCATAATTGGCTTCCGTGGCAGTTCAGATGGTAAAGAATCTGCCTGCAATGCAGGAGACCTGGGTTTGATCCCTGGGTCAGGAAGATCCCCTGGAGAACGGAATAGATACCCACTCCAGTATTCTTGCCTGGGAAATAGAATGGGCAGAGGAGCCTGGCAGACTACAGTCTATGGGGTCATAGAGTAGGACACAACTCAAGTGACTAGCACACTTTCAAGCTACATAATTGCTTCTGAGGACTCAGGGCTTCATAAAGGAAATTTTAAAATAATATTGATCTTTTCATTTCCTTACAAGTAACTTCTATTTACCAATTTAGACCCTTAAAGTTACATGTTAGCCTCCTGTAAAAAAAAAAATTTTTAAAAAGTCCTTCACCAGCATTCACCTTTATGAAGGTTATAAACGCGAGAATGTTCTTTAAGAACATGTGTCTGCAACAAATAAAAACAGCAAAAAAGCTTTTTCCATTTTGAAACTCTAAACTTTCTTGTATTAAAGAAACCCCCCCAAAAGAGCTTGAATTGGAGGATAAAGAAAATATCAAATATACTTTAAAGCAGTTTTTAAAAAGTTTTTTTAATGTTTAATTTTTGTTAGTTTAAGGCAGCAAAAATACCAGCTCCAAGGTTCCCAATTCAAAGACACCTCGAGGGCAGTAGTTTCAATTTCACCTGCGGTGATTGTTCAAAAACACAAATTTCCAAGCCCCACCCGTAGAGACCGCTGACTCAGAAAATCCAGGGTGGAGCCCAGGAATCTGTAGTATTTCAAAGTATCCCAAATAAAGCAAAATTCAATGGAGAAAAGAATTACTAAATAGGAATTTTAATGCTAATGTTTCATCCTAAACTAGTCTCAGTGTAATCCTCACCCGGGACACTCTGAGAAAACCGGCCGCCCCGGGGGCCAGCCTGCATCTCTGAGGGCCAGGGTGCGGCTGGGTCATTTTTAAAGGGCATTCCAGGTAAATTTGGGAAACCCCAGGGTGGGAAAGTGCTCTTCACTTGAAAAAAACTGAGTTTCAATCATGGCTTTACTGAAAGTAACACTATGATCTGCTCCAAAACCCAGGCATCCTCGTAGGGGTGTGAATCTCTCACAAACCCAATTGCTCACAGGCTGATCACAAGGCAGAAATAAGCCTGGGTACAATCAAGGAACATTAGAAGAAAGCAAGGTTGCCCAGCCCAGCAGAGGACCAACAGTTAGGCGAAGATCAATGAATACAGCAGCACGTGACTCATGGTGATGACGTTTTACTTTGGGTAGATGATTTCCAAAAAAAAAGAGAAAAAAGGAAAGAAGGAAGAGAAGAGAACAGAGAAAGCTGGAGTCAATGAGATTTGCTGCTGTTTAGTTGCTCGGCTGACTCTTTTGCAACCCCATGGATTGCCCGCCAGATTTCTCCGTCCTTGGGATTTTCCAGGAATAATGGAGTGGGTTGCCATTTTCTTCTCCAGGGGATATTCCCAACCCAGGGATCGAACCTGTACCTCCTATTGGCAGGGAGATTCTTTACCACTGAGCCACCAGGGAAGACGTTGATAAGATAAGCAAAAGCAATTTAAATGTCATGGGCACTGGGATACATAAAAACCATGGAGCTGGTACTTTTCCTGATCTACACTAGAAATATATTGATATACATACATGTGTATGTATACACACACACACATATATAAACTCAGATAAAAACCTGGAAATAAAACAATTTAAAGCACTTCAAACCCAAACTCCTTGCTTTTACTTAGGTTAATTCAACCATAAAAAAATGATATAGATCTTAATTAAGAGGTTTGTAAAGTACTTAAGTTTGTCATTTTGTTGACATTTAAATGTAATTTCCTCTAAAAACTATTCTTAGGTATCAGCTAACTAAACTGAACTGTTGGTTTAGATTATTGTACTACCAGATAAGATAAAATTGGAGATAATATACAGGAGAGCAACTCACTAGCTCAGAAATAGTCTATGCTGTTTTAACACTTACCCCTGAGGCTGCCGGTTGTGTGGTGGGGGAAGTATTTTTGCTGCAGTCATCTGCGTTAGAAGAGGTGGAAGTTGGAGTCATGGGAACAGAATTATTGCTATTACCTGCAACGGTCAAAATTAACCTCATAAATATACATATACTCTACTAAGGTTGGCAAATATTTTACAGTCAAACAGCATTTTCTTATATTTACCAGAGCAAGCTTTTGACTTATTTATGTTCTTAGGTTTTCGTTTCCTGGTTTGAATTCCCTCTTTTTTCATAGCAAGCGGTCGAGGCACCTAAAAATTTTTTCACATAGGCCATAAGTTTAATAAATATTATACTGCAGAAAAACCAAACTAACTAAAGCCCGAACGTCAGTACTGAAAGCCCCATTTAAAAGAACTTGGCATAAATTTCAACCCAATTTTTATACACACTTCATAGATTCCAACTGCACAAAGACTACACTTTCCCCATCAAATGCAAAGATTCCTCCAGGAAAAAAAAAATGGGGTGATTTGCCAGGTAGAATCTCTTCCTTCAACTTAATATTTATTGTTTTAAACAACTTCAATTACAGAGTGAAACCACTGAATTACATATTTTTATTTCAAAGAGATCGTGCATTCTTCTTTCTACATATACCAAGGTTATTTTTCTTTTTAAAATTGGCATACTTTATAATAACTTGTGCTATGCTTAAAATGCAAAATCTTTTTAACTAGAGCTACCCAATGTTATGACTCTTCTGTATAGATGTGTTTGAGTGCATTCACATTTTTAAGCTATAAACTAGTTAATGTGCATTTCTAGTAGGTTCCGTGCTTTTTTCTTTTTAAGTGTACAGGTCTTTAAAATACACACTACTATATACAAAATAGATAACCAACAAAGACCTCCTGTACAGGGAACTATACTTAACATTCTGTAATAACTTAGGAGGGAAAAGAATCTGAAAAAGAATATACACATTCACATAGGGGATCACTGAATCACTGTGCTGTACATCTGAAACACAACATTATAAATCAACTAGACTTCAATTTTACAGCTTTTTAAAAAAAGATTACTACCATTGTATCAGTTCTAAAAATACATATTTCCACATTTTTGTATTTCTACAATCTGGATGTCTGACTATGGATGTGTGTGAGTTTAACTGGCAGCATTTTTTGTTTCTTACCAGTATGATAATAGTTCCTAGGACAATTAACAGGCCCCTAGATTCACAAACATGCATATACAAAAATCAGATCTTTCACCCCATGCCCTCTCCTTTGCTGATTTTTTTAAACTGAAACTAAGTACAAAGAAGACACTGAAGGTGTATATACAGAAGTGGAGTAGGTGGCGCACCCCATGGAGCTTCATGTAGAGTCCACACGCATTGCACACAGGCTCGCCCTCAGCGTTTCTGCGCCACAAAGTGGTGGTCGTGGTGTGACAGTTGGCACAGGACAATCCAAGCCGCCGGGAGGAAGGCTAGAAAGCAGCACAAGAGGGTGGACACACATAAGTGCTTTTCACGTATACGCTACACACGTCCATGTGTCATGTCCCTGCCAGCAACAAGCATGTACCTGGTTATTATAAATAAGCAGTCCCCCTTGAGGCAAAAAAAAAAAAAAAAAACCCTTGACCTGTAATTAGGCTGACCTTCCTGGACCAAAGTGTGCTCCATCTAATACAGATCAATTGTTCTGCCCCAGCTCATTAGCATAGATTAGAGCAGTCACAATACTAGCCAATGCCTGCGCTCACTGTTATTGTCAGAGATCTCAGTGAAGAAATGCAGTCACAAACTGCCTGGCAATGTGTTAAGTGGCTTTGGGGAGTCTCTGCCTCATCTGAAAACTGAGATAACCAGGTCTATTTCTCAGATATGTGCAGACGAATAAACCAGAAACTGTAGAAAAGCCTATATATGTTAATAGAAATGAGTTTTGGAAGATGCACAAAAATTTTGTAAAGAAACACATTTTAATACACCTCATTAATGATCATCGCGATCGCCTATTGCCTGAATTTTCTGTATTATCCATTCTCCAAAGGATGACCAAATTCTACAACACTGTGTTAGTGCTGGCCTTCTCTTGGTGATGCTGTTATATTTGATTTACCCTGTCAGTATAGTACTTTTCCTCACGTGGTGGCGGTGGTTTAGTCGATAAATCATCTCAACCTCTTGCAACCCCATGGACGGAAGCCTGCCAGGCTCGTCTGTCCTTGGGATTCTCTAGGCAAGAATACTAGAGTGGGTTGCCTTTTCCTTCTCAGTACAAAGGGTTAAATTTATCAGAAAAGGTCAACTGTCTGTCACTCTGATTTTTATGTTTCCTTTATACCCATAACATCCTTATGTGGAGTTTATCTCCTCTGAACTATTATGTGTGAATTATAAAGAGGGACTTTTTAAGCTAGTCTAAGTTCCTACCTAGAATGACAAAAATCTAAATTTGCTTTTCAGTTACCTAGATAGGCAACTAAAGAAATCTGCTATGACTTCAGTTTAAAAAAAAAAAAAAAAAAAAAAACCTATTCGGAAAATCCAGAGACCAAAACAAGTTGAAAGATAGAATTAGGGAAGTTGGCCATGATGATTAATTTAAGAAAAGAAGTTATAAAGAATACACAACAAAAACACAGATTGAGCATGTACTAACTATTCAGATTAAAAGACAGATTTTCAAAATCTTTGTTGGCAAAGTCAAAGCTAAAAATTGAATTTTGTTTTTACAACTCACGTCGTTATTGCTACAACACTCTTTACAGACAAGTTGTAAAACCAAAGAGACACTGGGAAGCCTCTTAGCACTGCCACATTTTTAAGAAGTCGGTGCTAAGAAAGAATCACTTTGACTTTTGGTGGAAACGAGTATGTTTGGCTGATAGAACTACTTGGGAATTTGCTTTGTTAAAATGATGAAAACATGAAATCTTACACATCAGGGCTTCTTTTTTTTTTTCTTTATCCTTAAAAGAGAATAATTTCCCAGAAGAGCACTCCTTTCTCTTCATAAATATGAAATAAGTAAATTAGGGACAGGAAAGTTCATTTTATAAACAGGCCATTTATGATAGTTTGCAGTGGAATTTGGAGCCAATGTGAGGCAAACTTGTTATCAGGATTTGCCATTATAACAAAGAACTTTATGACTGTCAACTGCAGATCATAAGTGAAGCCAGTCCCCATAAACATGTGAAATGAAGGTGAGCAGGTTATAAAAGGTCCTTGTAACAAGCGATCTCAGTTATATTCATCACTGACAAGGAATTCAAGTTACACCATAAATCTCTTATTTTGCAATGTATTACAAGTTCAAATTCACCGTGATTGGTCCTGTACTGCTAGCTAAACAAACTTGGGTTCAACATTCTATGTCTGAGAACTAACTAGATCCAGCGAAACCATAAATAAGAAGCCCACGGGAGAACTAATTGATAGACACGCCCTTCAATTGGTATCATTTATAACCCATTTACAAAGCACATTGTCGGACCTTGGTCACTGCCAAGACACCTGCCATACAGAAGGAAAACTAATAGATTCAGAGATGGTAAAAAAAACTGGGTTTTGTGTTTCCTGTTATCAAATTTAAAATGCCACTAGAAATGAAATGGCTACTATTCTGCCAATTTTTTGCTAAATCTTGAGAAAAATATTACCTTTCCGGGCTCAGCCAGGACTCTGTTCAATGTGCCTTTCCAAAAAAATAATAATCACTTTCATTGTTCATACACTGGCTAATGCATGAAAACAAGGAACTTCCTTGGAATATTTACCAGCAGTACTTTTTAAATATGATGCATGTAAGAAAAATGAAAACCAATGGGAGTCAGGCACAGAAGTTAAGGATGCCCTTTGAAGCAAAGTCTAAGCTGTGGGTGACTAACAAGTTTAAGGCACATACACTCATTAAATTAACCCCGGCCACTTTATTTTAAATGCATTAAAAACAAAACAACCATAAAACTAATTGCTTCTCTTTAAGGTGGCAGACTCACATTGTGATGCAATTTCACTCTAATCTATTTAACACAAACAACATGTGCAGCATTTGTTCCTGCTAATTAGAGTATAACAATTAAATAAATTACTTGGATACTTAAGATGTCTGGCATCTAACTGTAAAATATTTTACTTTAAAAGGTATTAGAGTACCAGTACTTGGCTAAACAAATGTTAGCCTTACAGTGGGGCGTGTGAAAGCTTTCATTTATTTTCTCTAATCAGGACAGCAGTAAATAGCCTTTCCTTCTTAAAAACACAGGGGACAATAAGAGATTAATCCCCGAAGAAAATCAAAATTCTCACACTTTAAATCATAGTGAAACGTGTTGGGATGGTGAAAATCTTCCACTTGAGAAAAATGTGCAGACTGCATTTTTTCCCCTCAAGTTCTATGATCAGTAGTTCTCTGAACAGCCAGATTTCAAAATAACAAAAGTTAGAGTAAATAAATTTTTCACTAGACTCAAGGACAATCCAAAGGACGGATGGAATTTGGAGTTAAAACTAGTCTGAAGAGGTGGAAGGGGCCCAGAGGTGGAAAGGACAGAGTCAAAGGGATTCAAGACAAGCCTGTGGGGACAAGAGGGCTGTGGGTTCCATTTTAAAAATCCATTTTACGGGATGTTACAGAGGAGCTAGCTAAGAATCGACTCCAAACCAGACAAGAGTCCACAGTGAAAAGAAGCCTTAACCCGACCTGGGGCTGTAGCCTCAGTTTTTCTCCCTGGAGGTTACTAACATTACTCATTCGTTGGATCTCCTTCCAAAACTATTTCTGTGCATTTGCAAGTACATCTAGAGATGTGTAAAGATAGGGGGTTGGTACTTTTTTTTTTAAAGGCAGTAGCACACCACACCTTCCTTCCTTTTTTTTTTTTTTTCCATTTAAGGATGTCACTCCCTGTGTGAATTTGAGCAGAGGGCTGCCTTCGTTCCCCTGTGGCTAGTTTCGGGGACGATCTGCCCCGGTGGGCGCTGAAACTACCCAGGACCCCCAATTCGGGTCCGCTCTAGGCCGCGGGCACAGGTGCGGGCCGGGTCGGGCGGGGAGACCCGGGCCCCGCGGGCAGCGCGCGGCTCCCGGCCGGGCCACGGGGGAGGGCGGCGCCCGCACTCACCACGCGCTTCTGCGGCTTGATGAGGGGCCGGCTGAGGCCGTTCATCTTGCTGTAGAGACCGCAGGCGTTGCACAGGTAGTGGCCGGTGCCGTCGCGTCGCCAGAGCGGCGTCTGGATGGAGCCGCAGTTCACGCACTCGCGGCTCTCGGGCAGGTCCTCCAGCAGGTCTGCGGGACGAGAGGCCGATGAGGTCCCGCCGCCCGCGCGCGCTTGCCGGCCCAACCCCGCGAAGCCCCCAACCCGCACCCAGAGCCCCCCGGGCCCGCTCCTGCGCCCTTCCCCACCCGGCCTTTCTGCTCCGCGGCCCGGCCGGGAGCCGGCTGTTGATGTCACCGCGACCGATCTGTTGACCAATTATTTGTCCAATACTTCTGCACCCCTGGGCGCGCCCCGTGAAAAGCCCTGCAAAGTCCGGTGACAGAGCTGGAAGCCCGGCCCGGATCATCCGTCTTCCGTCTCCCCAAGGACCTCGGAGTTGAGATGAGCCGTGGGGAAGTCGGTGTGGGCCCCCTGACCTCTCCTTTCCCGCTGTTCCCAAGCTTTTCAAAACTGAAATCCATCATAATTACAATATACCACTTGCCAAAACCCGAGCAAGCTTTGCAATATTAACAGTGATCGCTCACCCCAGCCCCCAACCCCAAATATCTCCACAAATACCCCGGGACATAACCAGGCTGTCTTTTATCTCAAGTAATTTTTTGAAAGTATTTTCTATAACTACCACTCTTCCTTTTCCTCCATAAAGAACAGACAACTGAAATTAGAAATACTGTTCTTGAGCACTTTTGCCAATTAATTAATAATGACTCCTGGGGGGAAACGCAGTAAGAAATTTGTAAGAACAGAGATGAATGTTAGTTTGATTTTCATGTCACAAAAACCAAACACTAAAATATTATGATTTTAAAATGGGTCTAATTGCTACAGTCTACAAAATTTCTACAAACGGTGGATACTGAATGGATTGAGAAAATTACCAGCACTGTTGCAGAGCTAAATCAAAGTTTTTCCTACTTTCCTACACTAAAATTTCAACTTATGTCATCTATTTAAATTAATATTTGTCATTTTACTGTTTGGTTAGTTTTCCAAAGTTCATAATTAACCTAAACCTGCTAACTTTAAAAAAAAAAAGCCTTCAGAGTAAATGATTTTAACATTTATTACTTCCCCTTAAATCAGCTAAATATGAACAATCAACTAAAGTGAGATGGGTACTTATCAAGTACTTTTAAAATACTTTTAAAAATATTTCCTTTAAAATAACTATTTAGAGATATTTACATTACACAAAATTTAAATGTTACAATTTAGCTTTCTTCAAGGGGCATTTTGAATCAAATTTTAAAGTAAATAAACATTACACTTTAGAGTTTATTTGAAGACTGTGTTAGCAAACCTTTCAATTCTTTTTCTTTCTATTCATCAGTGGTTGGTTTATAGCTTGTGTCTATCATCAGCTTTTGTAAAGATATTTCAGTCTGATTTGGATGCACAAAATTCTTTAATTCAATTAATATTATTTTCCCTGCAAAACAAGTTTCCTTCCTCCTCGAGAAATAAATTTAAAAGAAACTAGCACCCCCCATAACCCCAGTTCAAAGTTGTCATGGGGATACTGCAACTTAGAACACATCACAAAGATTTATTCTTCTCCGCCCTAAAAGCCACTATTGACTACGGTAATCAGTAAAATGCTCAGGACTTCAAGGACACTGAAGTTAAACAAGGTATTTGTCTTTGTTGTTGACTTTAAAATGTTACCTATCAGAGCCCCTCTCCATGGAGAAGTGGGGCATTCCCTGGAGAACCCAGCCCCATGCCTGGCCTCCTTCTCACAGGCTGGGAACAATAAAGAAACTCCCAATAGAAGACTGTGAGCACCCCAGGTAAATCTCTTTGGTCAGCTGAAAACCTAGAGACAAAATGTAAAGCCCTGCTTGGATAAATAAAATTTAGGAAGTTTGCCTATTTTTAATTAAGTAAAATCTACAGTTCCCATTCCCTCCATACTTTTCCTGCTTGTCTTTCGGTAGCTTCGATTTTACAACCAAAGTAAGCAAAATGTGACTTTTTATAAAGCACAAAATCTAACTGTGCTGGAAGCTCTCTCACCAACAGGCCCCCAATAGGCCCCCTATTCATCCTAACTTGTCTGCTTTGGGTGCCCCGGGCACTGACAGACTCTGGGGAGATGGGTGAAGTCATCCCCAGACTGAGAATGGAACCCAATTCAGCAGGAGCTTGGAAGCGCACTGGCCTCTGGCGACAGAGCTCACCCCCAGCCTCCCCACCACACACCCACCAGCACCAGGGAGAGGTGAATACACCAGGTTCCCAGGGCACTCAACCACACCCCTGCCTTCGCACTGAGCCCTGCCATTCACTCAAATCAGTTAAAAGAGTGCCTCCATTTTTTTTTTTTTTAAATCAGATTGGAGAAGCAGAGAATCAGGAACCTGGGAGGAGAGGGGCTGGGGGGTCAAGGTCTCTCTAGCAGGGGAATACCTGTGGGGACAAGCAAAATTAGGGTCATTCGTCTCCCCAGCTCCCAGATTGGCTTATTCTCAGCAGCTTTCTGCCTTCTTAAAAGACTCTTTACGCAAAAGTTTGGTGTTCCCAAACTCCTCTCCTTTAAAAAAAAAATTCTGAATCTATACAAGACTTTTGTAACTTTGCAGTGTCCTACCCAGAAAGCGAAAAAAATAGTGAAAGGATAGACTACGTTTGAAATAACTTATAACTTGTCTGTAACTGCACCCAACCCCTCTAAAAGGGTTTTCTTCACAGAACCAATCAGTTTAACCATCCCCCAATCAGTTTAAACATCCCAAGGCAGAATGCCTTTTGGACTGCTGCTCTTCCTCTGTCCCCTGAAATGCTGAAACGGGGCAAAGGGAAATGGAGGTCAGGCTAAGGTGTGTCCGCCAGGCCGGCAGAACTGCCCCCAACCCAATTCACACCACCTTTCAGATTCCCTGCTGGATTCCTGACTTGACAAGCGCCTCACACCCCAACCACCACCTCCTCCCCATCCTTTGAAGATCCTGTCTCCCAGTCTCTCTGCTCCCAGGAGCCAGACATGGGTCCCCATGCAGCAGCAAGGGTGACCTGGCTCTGTCCTCTCCAGTCTCCAAACCTCAACGGGGCCCCTCCCCGCCCCCAATCTACACACAGACCCACAGGCTGTAAAGATTTTCCACCCAGTGTTACTGAGAGACGGAGGTTCGAGTCAGATCCTTCACCTTCAGGCCACTGGTATTCCCAGACTGTCCCTGAGCACAAGGCTGACTGTGCCTCACTTGACCCTCACTAATTAGGACCCCCAAAAGTCCTAAATGGAGGACCCCAGCCCTGGGGAGTGCAAGTCCCAGGTGGGATAACTTAGGCTGAAAGGCCTCCTTGTCTTTGCCACCTTCTGACACCCACAACACCCCTTAAAGAAGCAATGGGCCAAAAAAGTCTTTTTTTTTTTTTTTTGTCTTAGGAAACTGTCAAGTTATATCAAACGCGTGAAATACAAAGACAGACCCCTGAATGCACGAAGAAGGATCCAGAACCCTGCGGCTGAGGAAAGAAGCCAAAACGCCTCTGTCGGGCCAGACAACAGTTCACACCCTCCCGCTTGAGCAGGACAAACGCTCTTCAAGACCGCGCATTTGCAGGAATTTTGACAACTTTTCCCAGCTCACTCCAAACTGCCCCCAGACACTGGAATGGAAAGCATGAGTGGGATTGGAAACTGAAAAATTATTGGCGTGCACTCTGGCGGAGGAATAGGTGTGGGTGCTGGCGTACCCCTGTCCCAGCCTGGGGGTGGGGCGCAGACGGGAGCAGCAGCCGCAGACACCCTGCCAGTTGATGCCAAGCGAAAGGGCCCTTCCACCAACTTTCCCTCGGGACAGTCACGAGGCTGACCTCTCTGCCTCCCCTCCCAGAGTGGCAGGGAGATGCCAACTAGCTCCTTTTTTCCACCGTGGAGCTCTTTTAATAAAAACACTGTCCTTGAGAAAAACACACTCAACTCCCGACCTTTGGAGAGGTGAATTGGGAACGACTCTATCTGAGAGGGTGACTGCCACGCTCAGCACTCACCTAAAGTCACCCTCCCAAATGGGAGTCCCGGGTGGAAACCCGGGAAAACTGGGGTCTGCGACCAGGCTCTGGCCCTGTCGAGTCCCTCCTGGGCTCACTGTTCCCAACGGCCCACTGCAGTCCCTGGCCTGAGGCGTACCGGCGCATCTAGTCTCTCTCGTGCAAAACAGAAGCACCATCGCAACGCGGCCGGACCCCGGGCACCCACACCAGGAAAGCCCCGGAAACAGGGTCCAGGTCAGAAAGCTGCTCCACACCCGCCTCGCGCCCTCCAACCCGCACGCCGCGGCGCGACCCTGCCCCTTACCTGTGCCGGGGCCGCGCGGCACCGGGAGCGGGGCTCCGGCGCGGCTCTGCAGGCTGTGCAGCACCGGGGTCTCGAAGGGTCCGGCGGGCCAGGCGGGCGTCAGCGGGGCCCCCACGTAGGGCGAGTAGGCGCTCGGGTGGTGGTGGTGATGGTGGTGGTACGTCCCGTTCAGCGGCCGCGCGGCCGACAGCGAGCCATACTGGTGCTCGCGGCCGCCCATGGCCGCTAGGCCGCCGCCGCCCCCGCTCACGCCGCCCGCGGCCCCACCGCCGGCCGCCGCGTAGCCCCCGGGGTCCCGGGCCGCGCCGTTGGCCATGGGCGGGCTGGGCGAGTAGGGGAAGCGCGCCGAGACGTGAGCCGCGGCCGAGCCGGCGCTGCCGGGCCCCGCTGCCCCGCCGGCCGCCGCGCCGCCTCCGCTGCCGTACGGGGGGCTGTCGGCCGAGGCCTGCGGCCAGCCGGGATGCGCGCCCGCGCCCCCCGCATGATTGGCCGGCCCGCCGCCCGCACCTTGTAGGTACGGCAGGCCCGGCAGCATGGAGCTCACGCGCGTGGTGGGCACGTAGACCGGGGAGCTCGCGGCGGCCGCGGCTGCAGCGGCGGCGGCCGCCGAGTGCACGAAGCCACCGGGCGAGCCGTCGTAAGCTGCAGGCCCCTGGCTGGAGAGGGCGGCGAGGGTCTGGTACATCTCCTCCGGCTGCTCGGGCGCGAAAGGGCTCAGCTTGGCGCCGCGGCTGGACCACAGCAACTTGCTGGCGGTCGCGGCTTGGTCGAGGTCAGCGAAGAGCAGTAGGTCCTCCCAGCTCGACAGGGCGCCCGCGGGGCCCGAGATCCCCGGCGCCGAAGGTCCGTGGGGAGCCCCGAAGGGATGCGAGGCGTAGGGACTGAGCAGCAGCGAGCGGGCCGTGGGTCCCGCCGCCGCCTCCGTGTCGAGCTGCGGCGTCCTGCAGTTGCTGGCGCCGCCCGGGCCGCGCTCCCCACCCCGAGAGCAGCAGGAGGAAGAAGAGGAGGAGATGGGGGAAGGCGGCGTGGAGGGCTCCCGCGCTGGAAAGGCTCCGGAGTCGCTGGCGTCCGCAGGAGGCGCGGCCCCAAGGCGCTTCGGCAGGCACCAGCCGCCGTCAGTCAAGGCCATCCACGGTCCTGCGCCGCTGCAAACTGACTTTTAGCTCCTGAGACTAGATGGGGAGGGAGACAGGGTCGAGAAAGGAAATTTTAGGAAGGACTTATCAAAGGCGCGGGCTGCTCCGCATCTCACCTACACTCTTCTCTCCAGCTAATGAGATTCCTCAAAAATCCCATTTTTTTTTTTAAAATCCCATTTTCTGTCCCGGGTTCCAGGTGTGGGGAAGGAGCATGGAGCCTGCGCAACCGCTGCAGGGTCCTCCCAGGGCCAGGATACCCGCTCCTCCTCACCCGCAAGGCTTGTATCCCCTCTAGCTCCCCTCCCACCCCCGACGCAGCATCCTTCATCCGCGCGCGCCAGATCCCAGGGGTGCATGGGAGACTGGCCGAGCTTTTCCTTCCGCCCCAAAGTGGCTCCCTCCGGGCCAATGGCACACACAAAGGAACTTTTTAAGGAGCCATGCGTGTCTGCGCCGCCTTATCCTGCCTCCGTACCGCGGTCGCTCGCCCGAAATGCCTCGGGGTGAGGGCTGCCCGCGTGAAAATCATTAGCGTAGGGAAAGCAACCTGTCCCCCGAAAACGAAACCGCCGCGTTCTCCTACTCGGGCTTTCCCAGAGCTTCCTGGACTGCGCTGACGAGACAGAACGCGAGCCCCGGAGTGAAATACAACCCAGCCTTGGGAAGGTGGGGCGCCAGGGCGGAGACCGGAGTCTCAGACCTTAGGGACACACAGGCTGTGCGGGATGTCCGCGGGGCCGGAATCTCCTGCCCACCCCCACGTCCCCGGCGCCACGCACCTTAGGTACCGCTTGCTTATGCAGCCGCCAGCGCGTGCGCTCACGCCGGCTGGGCCACGCCGGCCAGGCCACCCCGACCCACCCCGCGGTCATCCCCAGCCACGGAAAGGCCAGACCGTTCTGGAATCGGACGTCGCGGGGTGGAGCGGAGTGCAGAGAAAAGGAGGGGGAAATGCAAGGGGGGGTGGGGGGGGTACGTGAGACCGCCCCGGAGCCGAGGCCACCCCAAAGGGGAGAGCAGGAAGAATGACAGGGAGACTGGGAGGGAGTAGAGGAGGGAGGTGAACGCAGCCGGACTGGCCTTCTCGGGGCCGCTTCCTCAAATCGCTTCGGCTCATCGGAGATAACCATACTAAAATTAATACCCACACACAGACCCGGGCTAGATAGCAAGAAAGAATTCTCTGCCTGCCTGACTGCCGGCTCCCGCCCCTTTGCGCCAAGATAACTCTGAGATAAGGCTGAGCGCAGATAAGCGCTTCGGGGAGAGGAAAAGACACCAGAAGTTGGTCCGCGGTGTCCCGGGAACCTGGGAGCCTGCCGGGAATGGAGAAGGTAGACAGGAGCCAATCGCGGCCCGCAGAGGGCCGGAGAGCCGAGGCCGAGGGGCCTGCGACTAGGGAGGGGAGGTGCAGAGGAGGAAAGAGGGGAGTTAGGGCAAGAGAGGAAGCAGCCGAACCTCGGATGGGCGCTGCGCATGGAGAACAGCCGTGGTGGAGGGTGCTCCCGAGCGCGGAGAGAGGCCGAGGGCGCCGGCAGGCGAGCGCGAGTCCGGGGTCTGCGCGGTGCTGCTGGTGAATAAAAAGGAGAGAGGAGGCGCCTCTTACTGCTCTGCCGGAAAACTGCAGCCTGCGCTCCTGATTGGACTCACCGAGCCCTAAACAAACAGCGCTCGCCGAAGGGTGCCAGGCTGTGGGTCGGAACTGCGCTCTGCGAGCAGCTGGGCGCTGGAGGTGAAGAGGAGGAGGAGGGAGCGAGGGGAGGAGAGAAAAGAGGGTGGGGAGGGGACGCCGAGCGGCGGGGGGAGGGGAGCGCGCCGCCCCGGCAGACAATGAGCCCCGCGCAGCCTGCGGGTGTGGGCTGAGCCGCGAGCGCCGTCCTGGGAGCAGGAGGCCAGTCCATCCAGGGGGCGCCGATCCCGGGGACGCCGGGGGAGGGGCGGAGGTGGCAGAACGCCTGATCTGGCGGGCGACCCACACCCATTCCTCCGCCCTCCGTTACACGCGCGCTCAAGGGGGCGGGCTGGGGGGAGGGGAGGGCGATGGCGCGGGAGGAGTTGACCATACACAACCCCACGCAGCCACCGCAGCCGGAGCGACGCGCCAGCTCCCGGGTCAGCGCTCCCCCCGAATAAGAGGGGGCCATGCTTTCCTCCGCCGGCCTTCCCCTCTCCTCTCGACCCAGTAAATGAGCCTTTTTGCTCTACAGTTGTGTATGACCGACCTTAAACTCTCCCGATCTCTTCTCGAGACTCTGGGGCTCAGGTCGTGGTGGCCGTCGGGGGTCTCGTCTCCTGGGATCTAGGAAAGAAAGAACTCGAGTGTCCAGCTCCCTATCTCTGTCCTACTAAATGTGCTAGATTCCTAGGAAGTTTCGGGAGGTTCCCATCTGCACTCCCCAGCTAACCTGAAACTTTCAATTCGGGGTCACGGTGCACGAAAGGTTAGTCCATGAAGCGCGCAGAGTGGAAAGGGGTTTCCACGCCAGTCGCGCCCGGAGGTGCTCTCCGAGTTTGGGTGTCCCGTTTGCTCTGAACTTTCCCTGAGGAACTTCAGGTAAGTCTCAGATAAGTCGTTGGCAAGAGGAGGGGGTCACCTTCCCCGGTCCCAGCGAGAAATACCTCTTCCCCACGCCCCCGCCTTCACATACACACCCCTTCTTCGCTCCCTCCAAATGGTTATCGCAACTGTGTACAAACTGATACGGTCCTTGGCCGGCAGAGGGGCTGGAAATGAACGTCGCGGGGTTATCAGCGCAGATCTGTCAGCAGGGCGTCGCGGGGCCGCAGGTTCGTCCTCGGCAGGAGCCGTGATGTATGTCTCGCTCCCTTTCACTCGCAAAAAGGATTTTTCCCAACAGATGTGACCTCGGGAGGCTGTCGAGAGAGAGAGAGAGAGAGAGAGAGTTTTAACTAGGGCAAGAGGAGTTGTTTTGTGGGAATGGATTCTTACACTTTTTTTTTTTCAGGTAAATCGAAGTAAATGATTTTCTAAAGGTCAGTCTCCCTGAAGTGTGTGTGTGTGTTTGTGTATATGTGTGTGTGTGTTTCCAGCTGGGGAAGGGAGAGTCTCCTTAAGCAGAGTGGAACCAAGTTAGGAAGAGGCTTAGTAAAATAGGGTTTCTAGAGATCATGAGACCTCCTGGCTAAATATATGTTTCCTCTGGATGTAACTGTGAACCTGTGGGTCCTAGGGGACAAGGGGACAGGGCCTGGCAGCCCGAGGGAGGAGGGAACCGAATAGAGAAAGTCGGCGATTCTTTTTTTTTCCCCCAATTCTTCATTGTAAATTGCTGCTAAACACTTCTGAATTTCAAATTGCTACCGAGAAGGTCCATAAACCGTTCTCATCCAATTTAGTCACTTTTATTACATTCCTCTTTGCCTCCCCCGATCACTGCGGCAGCTCCCAGTTTCAGCGCGGCCGCAATTCCGAAAGACTGAAGGCAGAAAACTCTGGAAAGGAGACTAGCGACTGGAGCAGGATCCAGGGGCTTTAAATTTTAACCTGGGTTCGATCGAATGCATCTATCCGAACAGATAACCCGGCGTCCACCGTCCACTTAACTCCGACCAGGGCTTCCAATGCCTTTCTTTTTTCTTTTCTTTTTTTAACCTGAGTTCCGACCTAATTTTTACGCAGACTGTTTTGCAAAAGCTCATCTGTAAGCCGTTACAGAACGGTTGTGGGCATTTGATTTTCTGAGTCCAGGGGTTCTTAAATGTTTCTGAGGTCTGTTCTCAAAAGCAAAGTTTTTTTAAAAAATACATACTCAGTGAAGTGATTTCTAATGAAACCAAGTTAACAAATAAATCCTTTGGTTAAGCTGGGAATACAGGCTGTGAATGGCCTCCAAGTGTGAACCCCAAAGAGACCGAGCCCCCCCCCCACACACACACACACGCAAGAAACTGATTCCTGCTGTGTGTATTTCTTTATATTTGCAATTACGGGGGTGACCGTGTAAATTTCTTTGGACAACAGATGATCCCCAGAGACCTGCTTTTCCGGCCACTCCGCAGCAGCCGGGAGAGGGTGCCCTGGCCCCCGCACGGCCGGGACAGAGGTGAGAGGCCGGACGCACACCAACTTCACTATGTGCGATTTCTAAGGCTCGAGAAAGGACCTGACATTTTACCACCCCCACCCCCACCCCCAGAACTCCGATCGCGTTTGAGTATTGCTCGGAACAAAGGTGGGGGCAGGGAGGTAATTGTTTGCTCTCTTGCAAGGTCACAAATTTTTTTTTAAAAGACTGGTTTTGTTTTTCTTGCCAATTAACTAAGAAATAAAACTGTTTGACCCATGGAATTGATTCAGACAGAAAGCCAGATTGCCTGACCCTTTCAGTTTGCAGTTTTCCCAACGCGTCGACTTTGGCCCTGGGGACAACACCCCTGGGGAACAGCACATTTTCAAAGCCACCCTCCCAGGGGCCTCAGGCCGGGCGCTCCGAGCTTGCTCTGAGAGCCCCAGCTGGTCCGGGAAGGTGGGGGATATTAGGGGGCGCAGAGGAAGAAGGGCGTCGCAACAGCTGGCGAAGGCCTCCAAGTGCTCCAGGTAGACGGTCCTGTCCTTAAAAGTTGTTTCCTTTCCTTTCTTTCTTTCTTTTTTTATTTTTTTTTTCCTTTTCTTTTCCTAACGCCTCTCTCTTCCTTGGGGATTGGCTAATCTGGAACGAAATCGTTCCTCTCGCGACCATTGAGACCCAGGGAGTGGCCCCTGCAGAGCGAGCCTGCCTCCCCGAGCGGTCCTCCTCATCCCTGGAGGGGGGCTGGCTCCCGGGCGCGGCCTGTCCCCAGGGCTGATTTATTTGGGCCGCGCGCGCCACACCGTTCTTCGCCACTCGAATCCAGCCGAACCCAGTCGCCAATCGGGCGGGGGGCGGGGGCCTGGCGGCCAAACGGGGAAGGGTGACGGGGACGGGGGGGGCCCGTCGTGCGCCGCTTCCGGAGGAGCCGCGAGACCCGGAGAGGACGCGCGATCACCCCCGCAAACGGCAGCGCATCCTCTGTCATTTCACCAATCTCGGGTGCTCCAGCGACGTTTCAGGAAGAAAACGAATACATGCAATTTCTGACTTAACAGCATGGTTTTAATTTGAGAGGTTTTTTCTTTTCTTTCTCTTTTTTTGGTTTTGGTTTTTATTTTTCAAACCAGATTTACGGGACCTTCTCGCTATAACCATATTTCTTCCCTCCCTGGGGACGCTCTGGGCGAAGGACACGGGGTCACCTCGGCGCCCCCCTCCACCCCCTCCAGGGCCCGGGCCCACTCGCCCGGGTGGGATGGCTCGCCCCCTGACTGGACTCCACCGCTGTCACTCCGACGCAGGTCATCGCCCAGAGAGTGCTGACAGTGATGGTGATGGGGTTTGTTGTTGTTTTGTTTTAATTCTTGAAAAGCCCAAGAAATACTGCTTAGAAACGTCAGGTGGCGGCGGCTGCGGAAGCGTGGGCCGCGCGCAGCCTGGAGGTGGCCCCACCTTGTGCCCTGAGCCCCCCAGCCCCCTGCCCGCCGCCGGGTCCCGGGCTCCGGGCGTCAGGCGCTGGCGACCGCGGCCCCGCAGCCCCGCGCCGACCCCGCGCGCCGCCGGCGGCCGCCAGCGCGGCGCGGAGGTGGGCGCGCGAAAGGTCACCGCGGTGGCATTCCTCTCCGCGCGCTGTTTACGTGACTTAATGTACTTCGTCCGCCGCGGGTAAGTTAGGGCCGCGATAAGGGGGCGGCCGGGGGAGGGTCGTTGTAAAAGCCCCACGCTGGGCGCCTTCCAGCCCTCCCCTCATCCATTAACCTTTTTACTTTCTTCTTCCCTCTCTCTTTTAAAGCTTGTTATCTAGGCCACCCAATGACCGACGAAAGATTTTCTCCCTCGCTGCTTCTCCCCAGGCCGCTTTAAACCAAATAAATTTAGCTATTAAGGGCCAAGATGTCTGACAAAAGATCGAAAGGTGTCTCTCCGTGATCGCTTAAAGAAGCGAAGGAGAAGCTTGCGGCTCCATCTCGATAAAGACATTCCACACCGGCGCCGGCCTCCCTCCCCGCGGCCTGCTTGCGTCCCGACACCCAGACAGTCCCCACTTGGCGGCCCAGACCTCGGATGGGCCGGGTGGGACCTGCGGCCGCTTCCCGGCCAAAGAATGCCGGGCCCTAGGGACCCGGGAGAGCCGGGGACTCCAGGCCTGAGCTGGACTCCCCAAACGTGCCCTCCCCCGCCGCCCGCACTAGACTGAAGACCTAAAGCGAGCTCATGCATGCTAAGTCGCTTCAATCATGTCCGACTCTTTGTGACCCTTTGGACTGTGGCCCGCCAGGCTCCTCTGTCCACGGGATTCTCCAGGCAAGAATACTGGAGTGGGTTGTCAATTCCTCCTTAAGGGGATCTTCCGGACCCAGAGATCGAGCACCGAACTCCCGCATTGCAGGCAGATTCTTTACCGTCTGTGCCCCCAGAGAAGCCCCAAATTAGCTCCCATTCGAATTATTTGCTGATGCTGAATTTATACTACAAAGCCAAACCACACCTAACCTCTCGCCCACTTCTACGGTTTTGCTGAGGGGCCGTGTTACTCCGCATCACTGGTCCTCCGAGGCAGACCTGTTGAACCCCAGTCACAACGTAGTGGGTGGAAGGGACCCGGCGTCTGGATCACACGGAAGCTAATGGGGAGGGTGTGGACGGCAGGAAGACAGTGTGCACCTGGGAGGCAGCAGTCCAAATATTCAGGCATCCCCAAGTTGAGTTGGGTTATGAAGTGTGGGATTTATTATTATTAATTACTGCTGTAATCATTGCTTAAAGCCTTGGACTGCCAGCCATGCTGAGCCCCGCCCCCGAGTGATGCCTTCCCCTTCACCAAAGATGAAGCAAAGAATATCCAGTTTCCTGATCAAGGGCTGAAAATTGGGCTGTGCGGGAGTCAGATGCTGTGTTTTCAGTTTCCTTGCACTGAGTCGCTGCTTCATCCCCTAAGTGAATAAAGACTCCTCGGTACTCCAGGTCCACAGAAGCCTTTTCTAACCTCTTTGAAATGGGCTTCCCTGCTGGCTCAGCTGTAAAGAACCTGTCTGCCAATACAGAAGGTTCGATCCCTGGGTGAGGGAGATTCCCTGGAGGATAAAATGGCAATCCACTCCAGTATTCTTTCCTGGGAAATCCCGAGGAGAGAGGAGCCTGGTGGACTACAGTCCATCAGTTGGCAAGAGTCAGACCTGACTGAGCCACTTAACACACGTGCTCCACTTTGAAATATGGCAAGGCAAGAAACTGTGGGTAGAAGCTGGAACCCTCTTGGCTTCCCTGCTATGGGGCCTCTTCCCACATTTTCTGCCTTTTCAATCTTTTCTTCTTTGGCAGTGTTAGAGACAAGACTCAATTTCAAAAGGTCATTGAACATCTTCAGCTTCTTTTTGTCATCTCATGCTGGGCTCAAGGAATTAAAGATGCCTCTTTTTTCTCATCTCTTCAGTGAAATAAGGTGAACTCCACCTCATTTAATTCTGAGGTGAGGATCATTCCCTTCATCTAATCCTGACCCCTAACCCGGCCTCCAAAGGTGGGAAAAATCAGACCATCAGACAGAAAGGGACCATTTATGTCTCAAGAAGATGAGAAAGATGCAGAAATTTCCATCCCACTAGACAGGTGAAACCCAGGCTTTCTCTGGGCTTTGCAGGTATCACTGGGTGTTTAAGTGATGCCCTTTCTAGAGTCAGCGTGCCATGCCACTGCCCCAGGGCTGTCTCAGCCAAGAGACCTTTGTGACTGGTTTTCTGGTGGGGCAGGGGGCGTTGGAGAAGCAGAAAAAGGTGATAATAGACATTTGGAAATTTGCTAAGTATGCTCCTCCATGATTCAATCAAAGGGGGGGAAAAGTGCCCAAGAAATTTTTTTTTTAAGTACTGCATTTGCTACCCAGAAACATGACCTCTCCAGCTATGTTGCAAATATGCGGAGAATTAGGACCAAAAGGCTGTCTGCCCATATGCAGTCCTCCAGTTTCCTGCCCTTGCCCAACAGGACTGAGTGTGCACTGCACAAAGAAGAACTCGGAGAGGCACCTACTGGTTCTGAAGTGTTTACAGTCTAGAAGGTTGGCACTTCTGTAGAGCCGGTTAGGCAAAGTACCACAGACAGCTTTCAAGATAGAGGGAGATATCTGAGCCGTTTTTTTCTTTCTCTAGAAAAGTACCCATGCTCAGATTTTCCTCTAGCCTTCATGATGAACATATGAAAAGGAGGAAGCGTGGTATTTGCTCTAGCTCACACACTGAGGGAGTCCTCTGTGAGCCCAGGGAGCTCAGACTCTGGGCCAGCCTTCCTGTTTGAGTCGTGACCCCACCCCTTCCTAGCTGAGTGACCAAGACAATTTGCCTGACCTCTCTGCCTCAGTTTCCTCATCTTTAAAATGGGGTTGAGAAAAGCACTTCCCTTACAGGATGGTTGAGAGGGTTAAAAATGGTCTTGTGTGTGAGGGGCTGAGGGGACCCAGCACATCGGAAGCACTGTATAATCATGAACTATTACCAACATCTGTATTGTAACAAACTCACACCTACTACATCAGATTTCAGTTTGGGGGGTGACCCACCTATCCCCCTGGAGCTAAATTAGTTTCCAGAAAAGAACTTCAAGCACTCATTCAACTTTGAGACCCACCATTCACAAGGGTTCTTAGGATTTTTCTATGTACAGCAGTTGGGGACTTTATCGCATTATGATAGGAAAGGAAGGGCGGGTGATACAAGCATAGATCTACTTGTTTTTGTTTTCTTTGAAGAGGAACAATTCCTTGTTTCCCTTGCAAATGCCAACAGCAGACTACTACTGGACAAAGATAGTAATCTTGAGCCTTGTCTCTGCTCCAAGAACTTCAATCCTCAGCAACATTGCCTCCCTAGAAGCTTCTTTCTGGCAGGAGATAGGAGCAAATTAACATCGGGTGGAGAGGGAGGTGGGAGGGGGGACCGGGATGGGGAATACATGTAAATCCATGGCTAATTCATTTCAATGTATGACAAAAACCACTGCAATGATGTAAAGTAATTAGCCTCCAACTAATAAAAATAAATGAAAAAATAAAAATTAAAAAAAAAAGCAAAAAAAAATAAATAAATAAGAAAAAAAAAGGAGCAAATTAACAGCTGGGGCCGTGAAGGAGGGCAGACTTGAGGATGGGCATTAGATATAAGGGGTGGGGGGAGAACTAATTAAATTGACCTGGTTATTCACTACTCTCGTGCTTTTTACCTTTCAATTTTGTATTGCTGTTTATGCAGACTCACTCCACACTAATCACATTGTGTTAAGGAATAAAATAAATAAATAAAGATCTATGAGAGAGAAGCTAGGGGCCTCAATATTGGTAGAGGAAAATCCAGATCATTCCAGACTTTTTTCCAACTGATTTCCTTTCTTTCTGTTTTTCTTTTTCTTATAGCATCCCATCTTCTAAAACAAGACCTAAACCTCAATAATGAAAACTTAAAAAAAAAAATCCATGGGACATAACAAAGAATACTGTTTACTAGATAAAATGGCAGGGAAAAGGGTTTGTTTTTCAGGAGGCAAGGTCTGGAGGGAACATAGAAGTCTTCCCTCTGCAGGTTTCCAGCCAGGTTTTTGCCCAGAGTCTGTTTTTCTCTTGTCTCTGACAGTCTTGATCTTCTCTCCTTTTGATTTACTAAGTGCTGTCATTTCTCTGCTCTTTACTTTCACAATCACACATTCAAACCTGATAAAGTTCAAGACCCTGAAGAGTTGCAGCCTTCCCAGATTTACAGTCATCTGCCCCCCACCCGGCCAGCGGTCCCCTGGCTGATTGAATCCTCATGGACGGAAGCCACGCGGGATCAACAGGGGAACAACAGCACCCGTGTCAGCTCTGTTACTCAAGGCGAACCTTGGTAGCTTCCTTCCCCTGGAAAGTGATGTCAACCTTCTCTTATTTTATTTCTAACTTCTAGTTTGTAACCTGCCTGTGGGTAGGAACAGAAGTGGTAACTTGTAAACTTTTTACAGTTGGTAAGAATTAGATGTAAAATCCTGGTCAGCTTGCATAATTGTCTTTCTTTTCTTAAAAATCACTTAATTATTTATTAAATATTAACAAATTATTATAATATTTGTTAATTATGAGTATAATATAATTATTGACTTAGATAATAAATAATAACATTATTGATATATATTTATTATTATTTATTTATTTTTGCTGTGCCAGTCTTAGTTGTGGCTCTCTGGATCTAGTTCCCAGACCAGGGATCAAACTTGGACCCCCTGCATTGGGAGCATGGAGTCTTACCCATTGGACAACCAAGGAAGTCTCTCCATGGTTTTCCTGGGTCTATGAAAAAGCCTTATGATCGAGGGCAAGCCACTTAACCTCAACTGGAGTTGCTCAACTGGAGCAACTGGAGTGCCTCAGTTGCTCCATCCATAAAATGGTAGAAATATTACTTTCTACACACATTAATCACAAATCAGTGACTAGAGTCCTCTTCCCTATGTTTAGTTCTGTTAGAGCCCCAGGAAGACCACTAGCATGTATCTGGTCTGGCTGTTTGAATTCTGCCAGGCTAAATACAAACCTACTAGTTAATCTAAATACTGTAACAATGTGCTAAATGAAAGGAATGATTCATCTTCAAAGACAGAGCAGTTAAATCAGGCTCAAGTTTTCAAACCACTTAAAGGTCTTCTAATGGAAAATGTCATCTAAATAATCTATTCTTTGCCTATAAATATGTCATGTCAACTAATTACAAAACAGTGACAAAAAGCAGTCACTGAATATGAATGTCCTTATTTCCGATATGGGGACTTCATATTTACTACGTAAGTAAATATTTTACGTAATTTAATGTTTTCATTTATCTTGACCTAGTTGGACCATAAAGAAAGCTGAGCACCAAAGAATTGATACTTTTGAATTGTGATGCTAGAGAAGACTCCTGAGAGTCCCTTGGATAGCAAGGAGATCGAATCACTCAGTCCTAAAGGAAATCAACCCTGAATATTCACTGCTGAAGCTGAAGCTGAAGCTGAACTCCAATACTTCGGCTGCCTGATGTGAAGAGCCGACTCACTGGAAAAGACCCTGATGTTGGGAAAGATTGAAAAGTGGGAGGATAAGGGGACCCAGAGGATGAGATGGTTGGATGGCATCACCGACTCAATGGACATGAATTTGGGCAGACTCCAGGAGATAGTGGAAGACAGGGAAGCCTGGCGTGCTGCCCCCCATGGGGTTGCAAAGGGTCAGACACAGATTAGCGACTAAACAACAACAGTGAGAAGTTTATGAGTAAGGTAAGCAGAAATTTATGTAGGTCACTTTTTTTTTAAATCACTGTTCCAAATCCATAAATTTTAAAAGGTATATTTTTCCCCCTTTAAAGCTCATATTCTGGAAAAAAAAACCTAAACTCTCATAATATCTAAGAGGAAAATTAAATTTACCTATTAGAGAAAGAAGCTGAATTATTGCCTATGTTCTTTCGAAGGCTTTTTTTTTTTAACCTATCCAGTCAGGAGATGCCAATTAGAGTATATTATGATGTTGCTTTTCTTTCCTGATGGTAAGAATATTCGCTTCTACAGAGGTGTCTAAAAATAGAAACTTGACTTAGTGGATATCAAATAACTTTTTCTGGCTACTCCGAAACTAGGTTACTGCTCTGTTTATAATCCCACAAATTAAAGACATGCAATTATCCAACAAAAACAGTGGGAATATTACACCATTTTTTAAAAGACTTGACAACCACATAGCCCATGCCCAGCCAGCTCTAGCCAAAAACCACAGTGTGGATCCACAAATAAAGCTGTCAACCTGTGCATTTCAAAGGCACCTTTCGGTAGAGAGCTCAGCTTGCTTTGGGCAGAAGTGAAAACGTCTTGATGAAGAGAAAAGAGCCTCCCCAGTTGTTGAGCTGGTGGGCCGGCAGCAGAATTCATCCACACCTGGGTACTATGGCTAGATGAAACTCTCATGTGGAGGTTGAGAGCTGGAGGTCTGAGTTTAAATCCCAGCTCAGCAGCTCATTCTCTTTGTGTGTCCTTACACAAGCTCCCCAGCATCTCTTTTTGTGATTTTCCTCATCGTAACAAAGAGGGTGGTAAGAACAGTAGACTTGGGCTTCCCTGGTGGCTCAGCGGTAAAGAATCCACCAGAGTTCAATCCCTGGTCTGGGAAGATTGCCACATGCCTAGGAGCAACTAAACCCTTGCACCACAATTACTGTACTGGTGCTCTAGAGTTTGGGAACCACAACTGCGGAATCCTGAACACCCTACAACTTGTGTTCCACAACACGAGAAGGCACCAGATTAAGAAGTCCACGAACCAGTAGAGAGTAGACCCCACTCGCCACAACTAAAGAAAAGGCCCACATGCAGTGATGAAGACCCAGCGCAGCCAAAAAATAAATAAAATTAATCAATTAAATCTTAAAGAAGAACAGTAGCCTCCTCCTCAAATAATTCTTATGAAGACCTAATGAGTTAATATTTATCAAATGCTTAGAAGAGTGTCTGGCTCAACAGGCAGACTATTTGAGCCATTTGATAAATAAGGAAAAACACAAATTTCCATTTCAGGTCCCCTCTCTAGGGGAAGAGAGATGAAGGGAGAAGGGAGGACAACCCAGGATCTCAAAAAAGTTAGGTAGGAAGGTGATCAAAGGCAGAAAGAAAAGGTATGGGAAAAAGTCTATAAGTATGTCAGACATTTCCTACTGGGGATTGTTTAAGGTCATAAACTCACTTTTCTGTGTGTAAAACCTTCCAACGTGCTGTCTTTACAATGATGAATGTGCCAATGTCTTGAGCAGTGAACAGAGTCATAGGTTCTCACCCAGCATATTGTGTTTATATCAGAGACAAGAGTGAAGGTTGCAGAAGCAGTAAAATTCTCAAGGTGCAAATATTTTAACAATGAGCAAGTGTAAAAAGTTCTTCCTGGCGAGTCAGTAACTTTTCTCACTCTAGGAAACCCTGCATGATGGCTAGGACTTGGCCTTGGGGTTACATCCTCCACGTTGTCCTGGTGAGCTTCTGCAGTGTCCACAGTCATGACTGGTGTGACTCTGATGGTCGTGGGATCCATCCTAAAACCAGTGAAGGCTGTCATCACACAGTGGCCCTCTTCTTTCTCCACCCACCCCACCACATTTCCACAATTATGGCTGTCTTCTTGATGGTCAGGCAGTGCTTCTTGTGGTCACTGGGACACAAAGTGGGTCATAGGTGGCTAATCTTTACTGCATCCTTGTGCTGCTCTGGTCCGTGAGACCTCGGGGGCTTGGATCATGTCTCGTTCATGGATACACACAGTGTCTAGCCAGACTGTTAAGTGTGACGACTTTGAAAGCTTTTTGTTGTCATTGGTGTTTGTTTTGTTTTTGGCTGCCCTGGGTCTTCGTTGCTGTGCGTGTGCTTTCTCTAATTGCGGCGAGCAGGGGCTACTCTCTAATTGCGGTGTTGGGGCATCTCATTGTGGTGGCTTCTCTCATTACAGAGCACAGGCTCAGTAGTCATGGCACACCAGGTTAGACCAGGGATCGAACTTGTGTTCTGGTATTGGCAGGCAGATTCTTAACCACTGGACTACCAGGGAAGTCCTGAAAGTTTTAAGCTACCATGCTCTAAGTCCAAATAGTGAATTCCAACATTATTGATGTCAGATCTTTCTATACTAAGATAATGATCTCTTTATTTGAAGAGATAAAATTCCTTGAAAATTCTTTTCTTTCTCTCTTATGTATAGAATTCTCAACAGAAGTATGAACATCAACTTTGGGGGAGGATTCTATATTGAATAATGTTGATTATCAAATGATATCTTTATAAGACACTTTCTGATCCAATAATCTTAATACAAACAAATCCCAACTATAGCCTGTGCAAATTCTCTAATCCCAAGCATCATATCATTGGTCCTTACAGGAGCCACTGTGAGGCTGTTACTGCAGCAGACATATTCCTTTACTTTCCAAACTCCATCTCAGTTTTTATGGACTTTATATTTCACTACATTCTACTACTTCCAACTTTTAAATACTTTCCACATTTTTCCCTCTTAATTCAACCACTTAAGAATATTATATTGTCTGTGTTCAGAATTCTTTTTTGGCCAATAATTTATTAAGCCAATTAGAAAGAGCACTTTAAAAGGGTAATCAGTGGTGAACAGTCAGCAAGAATGTATTAAGCAACACCAGCATCGCCAACACCATGAACACGAAGTGAGGCATCAATTCTGTTCTGAGTACTAGTCACATGCTCCTCCTTTGTTTTCAACATCCTAATGTTAACAAACAAATGTCAGTCTTGAGAATAACTGCCTTTTGCCAGTAGTTATAATGAAGGAACAGATTTATAACTGGCACCTGCCAAAAATAAAGTAGGATAAGTTCACATTAAAAAAAAAAAAAAAGGTTAAACAGTACCAGAGAAACAAGGGTCCCTTCTGAAGGATTCATTGGAATTCAGTGTCAAATTCTTTTCACCTACATTTTCTGTCCTGTGGTTCAGGGCAGTGTAGATGTCTCTTCAATGGTAGGGATATGCCTTGTGTGAGAGCTGGTGACCTACCTGGAGAAAACCGGCCACCATTCACACCATGGTCCTCCCTCCCTGGAAGCCCCCAGATACATGGGAAACAGGGCCAGACACTAAGAAAATGAAGTTTCAAAGTCCTCACACAACAAACACCATGAAAGACGGAGCACCTTACTAGAACACTGTCGATGAAGTTCCTCCCTACAGAATCCTTTTCTAAAAGA